AACATGTACGTTGCTTGTCAAATGCATAAAGGAACGCACAGGAAGGGGGTCGTCGCAACACGGGAGGCTTCCGAGATTCTAGTATTAATCAAGCGCTCAGCGATAGTGCGACAAGCATACATAATGGTCTACAAACTTTCGCGAAAGACAGAGAGAGCACCGCAAAAAAAAGTACAGGAATCAAAACAGGAACTTGCACAGCAGTAGCGGCAGGCACTCCGTGAGCGGTGGTTAAAAGTGATCAATAAATATGAACAAATATCGCTGTATGCTGCTTGGGAAATCGTAGAAATATTGGTAGCTTTCGCTGACGCTCTGAATTCATTGCCATTTAATCTATCTTAGACTGTTCTGTGGAGAGAGACGGATTCGTTGTGCCATGATAAGAAAAAAAAGAAAACGGAGACACCTCTTCACCCTCCCCTACCGTAAATGGGCGTGTTATGGCATCTGGGTGCGACCATTCTTTAAATAATTATCATTCCTATCTTGTTTTTTCGTTGTGTCATGATACGAAAAAAAAGAAAAATAACGGAAGCACCCCTCCATCCTTCCCCTACCGTGAATGTGCGTGTTATGGCGTCGGGTTGCGACCATTTCTTAAATCGTTCCTATCTTGGTATTTTGCCGCACGCCAGTGCCATAACACCGATAACGGTGCGGAGATACAACTATAATAACAAGTAATTTCGTTCTTAGCTTTCCAACGCACCCCTCATGCAATACATCGATGGGTGCCGTACGGAAGAAAACACAGCGGCCAGTGTACGGTGCTGAGTGGACGCACCCCGGTGCGATGACCGATAGGTGCGATACTCAAGAAAAGAACACAGGCGTTTTCTGGTAAAAGTAACGTATTTGTGCGTGATACGGTACTTAAAATGAAGCGGCTGATGCGAGTTTGGCATAGCGTGTGCCAAAGCCAAAAGGCGCTGTGGTTCCCTGCTGGGAAAGGTACACGGTACGGCGGTATCGTTTTTCTTCCAACCTTGGTCGCAAGCCCCTCAATTGATGGCTGGTGCTTTCCTCTGTCTTTCTTTGCCTGCCTCAAGCGGCATATACAATTTTAGTACAGTGGGGGGCCCTCTATAGCGCCAGGGTGTGCCCCGAGATTTTACCGGCACTATAGAGGGCCCCTCACTGCTGTACCGTTTATTCCGGAACTCCTTCTTGTTCGGTTGTGGGAGGTGCGGGATGTGTGCTGTGTTCGATGTACGGATTACAGTAGAAAAATCTTGATCATTACTATGTACGCGAACACCTCGACGGTACGATATACATACAGTACATGAAAGGAATGGCGCCCCAATTGGTACCTACCGCACCCTCTCAGCCGTGCGTTCCATACAGTTCAACACGTGGCCCAGAGGGTACCAGTGCCTTGCGAAGCACGCAACCGCAAGCAAATTTACGTCCCAAGCAGGTTTTGTATCGTTGATATCGCACCGGGTGCGTTGACACCAATACCGGTGCGGAAACGCAATTAACCCCGGTGCCATAACACGCACACAATTACGTTATGCGCCAGATGCGCACACCCGTTTCTATGTTTTTCATCTGACGTATAGATCCCGTCTGACACGTATAGATCCCGTCTGACACGTATGGATTTCATGGGCCACACGAATGGAATCCATTTGTGTGTTTGGTGTTTGAACGAGGCTGGCATGCCTCGCTGTGGGGAACCGTCAGCCGCCACGACAAAACATGCAACATGCTGCCCACATTTGCGATGGGCGTTGGGACAGCACGTTGAGCATGGGCACGGGTCCGGTACATCATCGTTCGCGGACGTGCGGACGGAAGACACGGACGGTGCAGAAGGCGTACCAGTAACATGCGTATGACGCCCGGCAGTATCTTCAACCGCAAGACAAAATCGCCCGTTGCACCTGCTCCTCCTTAACGCATGCCCTAGTACTCTCAAAGCAGACGTTCCCCACTGCTAGACACTGCTGTTACTGCTACTGCTGCCCTGTTCTCACCGCTTGGGAACGTAGTCGAAGCCTTCCGCGATGGCCGCCATGGTGTCCTCAAATTGGACCGACTCGGGCTCATCCGCCAGCCTTTGCCTCAGCACCCCCTCTCCCTCTCCTCCTCCCATGCTCATCATCATGACGGAAGAAGCTGCACCCCTGCTTCTGGGGCGGCTCTTGAGGACGCCGCAATCGGGGCACTGGCACGTAGCCCTCTGCCCTACAGGCGAGGTTGTGTCCTCTCTGTCGCGTTGCGCCTTCATGCGCATTGAGCACCCGGTACAACGGCAACCGGCGCTGCAGGACCGCCCGGAGATTCCCGCCGACGAGCAGGAGGGGCAGCTGCACGATCTCCCGTGGACACCAGCGCAGGAGGCGCAGGAGCACCGGGCGCCGTGAGCGATGCTGCTCGTGCTGACGATGTGGGACACACGAGAGGCGGAGGACGCTCCACCGACCAGCCTTGCAGCAGCCGGCACGAAGAAGGCGTTCACGCCATTGGCCAAGGAGAGGGCGGCAGCGCAGATCAATACCACAGAGGACCTCATGAGTTCGACGTGAAGTGAAGTTGATAGACTGTCGGACTGTCGTTCGGTGTTCGGTCTCCTGGCTGCGAACGTGTCAGCTCACTGGCGTTCAACTGCTGCTGCTCAACCACGCGCCAGCAGCAGAGGACACGCGTACGTTTTTTTTTTTTTGTCACTGGTGGGCAGGAGTTCCATAGTTTCCAGGCGGGATTCGTAACGGTTGGTTCAATCTACCCTACGCATAATATACGCATACGCCACTGCCTCAGACTGCAGTAGTTTTCGACGACGACGGCGAGAGAGAGAGAGAGAGAGAGAGAGAGAGAGAGAGAGAGAGAGAGAGAGAGAGAGAGAGAGAGAGAGAGAGAAGATGCACACACACACACAAATGTTCTGATGCTGACGACAAGTGTTCTTTATCCAGCAATTCTACACCAACCGATATCTATATCTGCAAGACAGCGCCCCGCGGCACCACACACTTTGTACGTTCAGTTGTCCTTCCCAAGATCCAAAGTAGCAGCAGGGGCGTCGTTTGTGGTGTCACCATATCACCACGAGGAGCCGATGCATGCGGCAGGGAGAGATAGCCATCACCTCCGAGGTGGCCCGCCTGTTCACCGCCCCGAGGCGATAGAGGGGGTAGTTTTGCGAGAGCGCCGAAACTGGCGCATATTCTCAGCTTTCGCGAGGCAAGAGTATCCGGAGTGCCTTCAAATCATCGAGGAGCAGCTGCGTGCTTGCAATGGGCTGGCTGAATATGCGATTCACGTGAAGGGTGAGAACTACAATACCAGTCGATGGTAGCACGATCGAACACCCAACCACTAGCAACTCGCAGTCCTGTGATTGACACATGTACGGTCGGCGATCCATTTCGTTAAAGTTCCAAGTGACGGCAACGGTCTAGACTACTACATGTACGACTCTACATATGTAGACTGAATAGCCTAATGACTAGTACAGAATGTCTCTTTTACCTCGTGTGTGGGATCGCTGACGAATACCGTTTGTGTTGGCCTAGACTATAATGTATGTAGGGGCTACAGTAGTTCCTTTCCGTCTTGTTGATATTGCACATGTTTTCGGGACTTCGACGGCAACCAGTGTGGGTTGCACTCGTCAACGAATAATGGACCACCTACGAATCACGATTACCTGCTCTAGGATCTTCAAGAATATAGGGCTTAGGGAGCACAGAAACTGCTGGTGAGATTCCTTCAAATTTCCACAACATCATGGCTCACATGCACTGTGGGCCTCCATCTACATAAATACGGCAGGTTCACCTCGAATGCTTTTGGCCCCGCCTTCACTTTTTGATATATCGACTGGTACAACGTATGCCGTGTTTGCTTCCGGCGATGACCCCCCCCGCCTGTGTAGGCCAGATTGTGCGAGCCCAGGGTCAAATACAGGAGTCTCTGGTGCTATTTCAGGCGGCCACGTGTCTCAACCCGCAGAATCCGTCGAACCTGAAAGAAGTGGGTCGATGTCTCTTTCTCTTGGGCAAGCACAAGGCCGCACTCGATGTCTATGGCGAGGCACAACAGGTATACAAAAAAAGGAACAGATCCTGGAGTTTTTCATGACATGTTGTTATGTATGTTGGCACAGAAATGCAGCAAAATATGGTAAATGTATTGGTGACATCTCGGGGGACCCCAGGGCAGCTGATTTGGCGGTAAGAAGCCGTCTCAGCGCTGGTACTGTATCCCTCTCTGGAAGTTAGATGTATTCAGCGCAGCTTTCGCTCGTCGGAGAAATCATCTCGAAAGGGTGAAGTGCAACACATGGACGTCATGATCTCTTGGTTCTTCATTTTTCATGACTAGACCCTTAACCATGTGTCACGCTGCGTCTGTAAGATTGATTCAGAGGATTGGGAGGTGTGGCACAGCCGGGGACTGTGCTACATGCACCTCAAGCAGTTTGAGCGGGCGCTAGAAGCGTTTGATCAGGCCAACTCCATCAGCAGGCACGACTCCACCTTCCTTCATATGGGCAAGGTGATAACCTCACTAAACGTGCAAAGAAGAGAGTTCTAGGATACCGTATGGATGCGAGAGATGTCGGGTCCGGAGATATGACATCGGTCAGAAAATAACCACTGGGGGCACCGGGTGCGATATCTTCGACCCCAAATCCAAGATGTGCTTAGAAAGTGGCCCCAGGCCACTTTTACAGCTGGCGTACTGACGTACCTGGACACCTTTTACATGCATGTGGTGAGGGCATCATGAGGGCAACACTCCTTATGTACGGTCGTGGTACCTATGAGCCTATATTGGTGGTATAGAGTATCGTAATAGTGGGAGAAATGACACCGGGGTGCGCGTATTCAACACCACCGTAGCACCAGTAAGGCCACTGTGTCCAAGTTTTTGGGCATCGCACCGGTCGGAGAGATGGCACCGGGGTGCCCTGGAGATGCTAGATGAAACGATTTAATTGCCTCTGCCACCACCTTCAGGGTCTTGCACCACGTGAGATCAAAAGGCCCAAATTCAAACCCGCCGGGAAAACCGAGTTGCAGGTGTACCGCCTTCAGGACAAGCCGGCGGAAGCCCTAACAGTCTACGAGGTGAGAGTGCACGTGGCGCAAAGTGTGCTGTTGTTTCCGAGGGGGATGGGGGGGTTCAACGAGCAAAGCCCTTGTTCTGTTGTAGATGCCCCTGGTTTTCAGAGAGAAATTACTTCGACAAGCGTGGGTGTGGTTGGCTTGCTGGCTCACCTGCGATCAGTTATATTGCTGGCTACGTTGATGCCAGGTAGGTGGTATTCGTTCGAACTCAATTGCTTTCGGCCCCTGTCCGACGGTTCGCAAGCCAGCTGCACAGCGTAGCTGCATCACTCTCTCCCTCTCTCTCACCACGATGATGGAAGCGTAGGCCTCCGTTCATTCAGCAGATTGTTTTCATGTTTTCGGCGAGGAAGGGCACTGTGCCTGTCTTAAGGCGCACGCGAATGTGTGTTCACAATTCACGTGGCACCTGCACGCTCGCCGTCTGTTGTCTCTCTCGCTCTGGCTATCGCAGGAGGCCCTGGAGTTCTCCCCCGAGAGCCCTGAGCTCCTGACCACGGTGGGGTTGCTGCACTTGCAGCAGGGGGAGAACCAGAAGGCCTTCGAATGCCTCGGAAACGCACTCACGCACGACCCGCGCAACCCCAAGGCCATCCTCGCCGCAGGGTGAGCAACGACAGGAAGAAACAGAACGCCGCGTGCGCGCGTGTGGGTAGATATAGGCATGCCCAGAGTATCCAGCAGCAGCGCAGTAATTGAACGAATGCAATACCGAAATATCGTTCTGTGGGCCCACAGGGGGGCGCGCACAGAAGAGTTATCAGTCAAAGGAACACCCCGGCACGCGCGTAAAGGAAGAGAGGCCAACACCAACGCAATTAAACCACCTCGGGGCATCTTTCCTCTGTTCTTTGGCATTCCCTGGACACACACGAACTTCCAGATATACGTGATCAGGATTTCCCGTACCCCCCATGACCTCACGACATCGTGACGCGCAGTATTACACAGCCCCCCACCATGAACATGACCCGCATGTACCCCGCCCCCCCCAATCCCGCCCGCACACCCGCACGCCGCGCTCGTATGACACGGCACCAAAGGTCGATTATCCAGGACAATCAGGACATGGACGTGGCGCTTGTCAAGTACAGGGTCTCGGCGGTGCAGGTATGTATTACAGTCAAAGGAGAAACAACATTGGGGACAAAGACGACGAACAGTGTTATGTGCCGTCGCCCGCTTCAGACAACAGGGAATCATGGAAAGACAACCCACCGCTCAACCATCCCGATAGACATTCCGGGGAAAGAAAATGCGGAATTTGTAGCTTTTTCGAAAGCGGCATTTCGACCGAGGTGTGCCCCCCCGAGCTGAAACAAAGCAAATACTGAGTTGTGCACTTCTACGTCGAGATACCGATAGGCTGGACAACTTGCGTGCTGTGTCTTGGTCGTTGGCGTTGTTGACTGCCATTCACAATGAATATATTCACGTTCGACCGCGCGCCGTGAACCCCGTGTGTTTTTCGCAACGAGAGTTCCATTCGTGGCTTTTGGAAGGAAAGGGTATATCTCCGGTTGTCGTTTCCTTAGCTAATTATGGCAACATGTAG